TAAATGCCGGTAATGGGCCGATAATAAATGCCGGTAATGGGCCGATAATAAATGCCGGTAATGGGCCGATAATAAATGCCGGTAATGGGCCGATGATCAACTATTATTAATTGGCCAATGATCAATTACCATTAATGGGCCGGGGTTATCATTTGGATATTBAGCCCTCTATGGGSYATTAGAAAACGTCAATGATCGGCCGTTAGTTGTCATCCTTTGCCCGGCGATTGGCCATCCAAGGGCCTGTTTTCAAACTTTGTATGGGGAATTATTAATATCGCTCGACTTGAAAAAAAAAAAAAATAAATAAATAAAAGAATAACTCCACCCCAACTTTTCACTGGGACTGTCAGTTATTACATGTCACCAAGCTGTTAAATACATTGAGCATAATATTACATCGAATAATAATAATTAAAGACCTCGAAAAACTGATAGAAGAACGGTTTTGAAAAATTCATCGTCTATCTGAAGATGATAGATTTTCAACTGCAGAGAGATAATTGTAAATTTACATAACTAAGTAAATGTAAAGATTGTTCGACGAAGACTGAATGAATTTCAATTAAATGGCCATGTTACTAGAAGAAAACCCATTCATATCAGAAAAGAATCGCAGGGCCCAAATTGTCCCGCAAAGGCCTGCAAATGGACCCGAACAATGGGTCCAAAGTTGTATTTACACTCAGAAATTTGATTTAAAAATAGAAAAAATATTAAAAATTCTTTAAATATGAACAATTAAGAATCCTTTTCTTTTTTTTATTTAATAATGTATGCTAAAAAAATTAAATTGGTTTTTGTATATCTCTTGAATGAACATATATATACAACGATTTCAATGTGATCTTGCTAATTGTACGTAAAGTATATGGCCGCTACTGTATAATAGATATTTATTGTATTATCATTGACAACGATCTATTGCAAATTTTTATTTATAGTACTAAAAATAATACATAGATATAAATTTTATGAAAAAAAAAAAATAAATAAATAAAAACAATATAATAATAATATTGTATTTTTAAATTTTTCAGTAATTATTTCAATTCAAATAACATCCGTTAGTATTACTGCAGGTGCTCATAGATTATGGTCACATAAATCTTACAAAGCTAAATGGCCAATGAGATTAATACTAATGATTTGTCAAACTATGGCATTTCAAGTAAGTTACCTAGTAGCACAAAATATTGACAAATATTGAATACCATGTGTATTTAATATTAAAAAGACATTGAATCTCTTTTTAATATTAAATATACATGCATTCAATATTTTGTGCTACTAGGGTTCATTCACTTTGATTACATTTTTAAATATAAATATAAATAATCATACAAAACACTTGTGTTCATTTCATTTCCGTTCGATCGAACAATTCATTAAAAAAAAAAACCAATAAATATTATATACCGATTTTAAATAAAAAAAAAAAATATATTATGAACTACAAATAATAAATAAAGTAATAAATATCTAAACTAAATATCAATTATTTCATTTGATTGAAAAATACATTTTTTCAAGACAAATGCATTAAATTATTATTCATGAAATGCTAATAAAAAAAAAAAGACACATACACGAGTTTATGCAAGTGTGAACAATTAAATGCAGTTGTTGGTATTGCAGAATAGCATTTATGAATGGGTCAGAGATCACCGTGTCCATCACAAGTTCACCGACACCGATGCCGATCCTCATAACTCGCGAAGGGGATTTTTTTTCTCTCATATTGGTTGGCTTATGTTAAAAAAGCATCCGGATGTTAAAAAAAAAGGTGCTACCATAGATATGAGCGATCTTGAGAAAGATCCGGTGGTCGTATGGCAACACAGGTAAACAATATCAATTACTTTAGAATATTTGGAAATATTTTTTTTTATATTAATAAAAATCGATTTATTTGTTTGTTTTATTTATTTTTTTTTTTAACTAACTAGACATTATAGAATTCTCATGCCACTCATTTGTTTCATCATTCCTACGTTGATACCCGTATATTTTTGGGGAGAGTGTTTGAAGAACGCTTGGTATGCAACAATTACCAGATACGTCCTAAGCTTAAATATTACCTGGCTAGTGAATTCTGCTGCACATATTTGGGGCATGAAACCGTATGATAGGTATGTTAATTATTATGTATTCATAATTATATGTTTATATTTGGACAATTGTTTGATATATGTGAGTATGCGTGTATTCAAAGTACAATTGTAACGGAGTGCTGCATGAAAAAACGTTGTTCTAGTTTTAGTTCCGTATGTTACTCAAGCAGAATTATATTAGGTGGACCGGAAAGTAATGTCGCTTTATAACTTTCAAATCAAACGAATTGACAAATAAACATTTTTAACAAGTTTTTATTTTTAATCAATAATATAATCATCTACGTTATCAATGACCTTTTTTTTTATCGAGTATGCAAATTTTTAATATCTAATCGATAAAGTCAATCAATATTTGATTAAAATGTCAAAATTGACATTCACTTTTAAAATAAATTGCTTATTCATTGTTAACTTTAGGAATGAACAAAAATAAGTTAAGGCCGGCGATACATGTAAACGCCTAAATTTTGACTGTTTTTTCAGAAGCTTATTTAAAATCGAAGAAATAAATGAATCGTTTTGAAACTCAGCATGTTTATTCATTACATATTAAATTATAAGAATCTGATTTTTTCTTTTTTTCAAAATGAAAGCCGTAGTAACTAATCTCCTGAGGCCCTCGCGGCGAAACGCATCAATCATGGTGATTTTTAGCTTTAGTTACAGTAATCTAAAATTAAAAAAAAGGGTCGGAGTGTGTTCATAAAACATGTATCGTCTAATTGAACTAAAGAAAAACTAAAAAAAGTCAAAAAATCGTAAATTGCCACGACTCAGACAAAAAAGTCTGATTTTTGACCCTTTTTTTTAGCGGTTTTTTGGGTCAAAAATGGCAATTTTTGAAAATTTTTGTGGCATTTTTAAAGTTCAACTAAAAGCTAATACTATAAAGAAAATGTGTGCTAAATTTCATAAGAATTGGTTAAAACCTTTTTGAGTTATCTTTCAGCACAGTTTGAAAAAAGTCGTTTCGAGAAAAACGCGTTCAAAGTTTAGCGTTTGCGTTTAGCGCCGAGTTGAGGCGGAGCACTTAAATAAATTTTTAATCGATAAATAATGCGAATTTCATTCTAAAAATTTACAGGCATATTTTTAAGATGGTAAACTAACTATTTATGAAAAAAAAAAATTCGATTTTTTTTTATTTTACATGTATCGCCGCCCATCTGTTAGAATCTTATCGAACTAACAGAGATAATCATGACTCTTTGTTAATAAACAAACAATTCGCGATTAATAAAATAATATTGCGATTATAAATTGAGATATAAACTATCCTATCTTTCCAGTTGGATGAAACTGCACACAGTGTGCAAAATTTTATTAAAATTGGTTCAGTAGTTTAGGAGTCCATTGCGAACAAACATCGTGATACGTAATTTATATATATTAAGATTTTTAGTAATATATTAACTTAAGTAACTTTATCATATTATATTTTTTAAACTTTAATTATATATTATATATATATATAAGAGAAAATATTAATATAATGAGAATAAGTAACTTAAAAATTTAAGTAATTTATATATATATATATTAAGATTTATTATTATTTCCTTTTTTTGCAGTACTATATCTCCGACAGAAATCCCTGCAGTTTCATTTCTTGCAGTCGGTGAAGGTTGGCACAATTATCATCACGTATTTCCGTGGGATTACAAAGCTGCTGAATTAGGAAATTACAAATTAAATCTTACAACAGCAATTATCGATGGTTTTGCCAAAATTGGTTGGGCTTATGATCTTAAAACAGTCACACGTGAAATGATTGAAAAGCGTGCATGTAGAACGGGAGATGGTACAAAGTATAAAAATGTCGAAGATCATCAACTGGATTACAATCATAATAATGCTATTTGGGGTTGGGATGATCCAGATATTAATACGGAAGATGTTCAAGACGCAAGGATATTAAATAAGGCCAAATAAAACTATTATTATTGATTTGGTGGTGGCGTAGATAAACAAAAATTGTCAAATTAAAAAAAAAACACCATAATTTATCGTCCATAAATTATTAATAATAATGATCATTCTCGATGAAAAGTTAAAATTATTCGAGTGAAAATTGAATATAGATGATTTTATCCTAACAATTTATTTATTGTAATAACATTGTATATTAGGTTTGATACGATTAAATAATAAGAATTAAAATATATGATTGAGTTGATAGAAAATATAACACATTATTATTAGCTCGTAAGGAAAAAATCTTGCGACATAAAAATCCTAGTTGTTAAATCAAATATAATAAAAAATGTGCATGTCTCACTTCTAGCTCGTTTTTCTTGTATATATTATTTTCTTGTCGCTTACGTAGGGGTCTTCGTAGGGGTCCAGCGATAGAATAGGAAGATCGTTTTTGTTAACGGGCCCAGCGAGGCATGCTTAGCAACGGTTTGAAGAAGTGGGGGGGGGGGCACGAATATTAAAACTTCGATATTCCCAAAATGACTGAGACGCACATTTTGAATACATTTATTAATATGTATATTTTTATGTATAAAATATAATATCAATTAATCGTAACGAATTATTTATTTATCTACAATATCAAAATTTAACGTCATATTTGTCTTTTTTAATAGTTATTTCCAATTTGTTAATAATAGAAAACTTTTACAAATTCCATTCAATGACGAATAATCATTCGTCTGAACACACATACACACAAAAAACAAAAAAAAAACAAAACACAGAAATTTAAAGTATTTCACGATTGAAATTCTTAATGAAGAAATTTTTAATTAATAATTATAAGAATTAAAGGCATGATTTTTTTGTCAACACTGTTAAATATATAATTATACAACGAGTTTTATTTTAATGAATTAAAACCATGAATTTTTCATCAACACTTTAAAATACATAATTATAAAATGAGTTTTGTTTCTTTTTTTTTTTTTTTCTTGAATATTTTTACAACATGAACAAAATATATAATTAACATATATATTAAATTTAATGTACATGTAGCCAATTCTTTGCTTATTATTGATTTAATATAATATAATTGATTTAACTATTGAATTAAATTTCGCTTGCTTTTTATTCTATCTATTGATTATGAGAGAAACGTAAAGTAGAGTAAATTAATAAAAGCTCAGACTGCAGGTGTGTAAGCACGGACAAATATAATACAAAAAGTAGCGTGGCGTCATATTGTATCTATCATGTGCACAGTCCCAATCTCACTTCGTCCGGAGGGAAAACCATGGTGTGAAAACCCCCAGGAGGTCTTTGACATCAGTTGCCAAGACAGCTTTCCAGAATGGGACGCCTTTTAGGATAGACTTCCTCTGTGTCAAAACGTTTTAATTCTGGACAGCACGTCTTTCATTGGATTTGAACATATTCCACCAAGACAATTTTCATTCTTTTAGAACGAATACGATTTTTCTCTTTTCCAGCCCTGTGTGGGATCTTCAAACTTTATCTAGACGAAAACACGCATAAACAGAATTTTTCCTGTAGAACATAACCTATTTGCTTTCCCCCTTTTTTTTTTTTTAAAACAAGGCTTAAAATCTAATCTATATTTTCCCTTTTTTCCCCTAAATAAGTGTTCCCCACTCTACTGGTTTCCATTATCCGAGAGACTACGTCATTTATTTGATTTAAAATTAAATAAGGTCTCCCCAAATCACTTTCTAACTACCTCGTTCTTGTACAAGTGCCACAGGTGAGACCAGGGAACTATCCGGTT